TCCAAATCCGGGCGTAGGCTTCCAGCGAAAAGGTAATGAAAAAAGCAGCTATAATAGCTCAACTACTCCTCTGCCTAATATACACCTAATATGTACCCATGCCTTGGTCATTCACTCCCACCACTAAAACTCTTGCGTAGTCGGCTTTCAGAGCGGCAATAGCGCGAAAAGGGTTTGGTCAATGAATTTCAATTTACCCGATTGAAGGTTAGGTTCTCTAGGATCCCGCAACAAACTTAATTAAAAAATGTTGATTATCACTGATAGGGCATAAAGTTCCGTTGCTTTGATACCACCTGCCTGTCCACTTCTGTGTAGCAATAAGAGATCGAAATATCAACTGTTTTTTTAAGTGCTGGCTCTTCAAACCCTAGCGCAAAGTTGCTTCCCGGCAGAAATCGGCAGGATGCCGGTATATAATATAGGTATACGTACGGACTAACTACTACAATTTCCACCAACAGTAAAATTAAATTTAGACCTCATAACTTTAACATTTAGTATTGTGGCGGCATTGACTTTGCACTATGAGTAGTGGCGACCACGTGTAGTGGGTCGCGAGTTCTTCTTGTAAATTCATGACAGACCTTTTCCACTGATCTTTCTAGAATTTAATAGAGAATGCCTATGTTCAGTAGTGGATATTTTTGATGAAATTAAACTTCCTTACGATTAGATTTAAAATGTATTGGGAACTATTTCTTGTTCTTTTACTTCAAATCTGAACGGGAATTTACGTTGCAACATGATTTTATTTATTTCCAGCAGGTTTTTTTTATTGCTTAGATAGGTGGACGAGCTCACAGCCCTCCTGCTGTTAAGTGGTTACTGGATCCCATAGACATCTACAACGTAAATGCACCACTCACCTTGAGATATAAGTTCTAAGTTCTCAAGTATAGTTACAACGGCTGCCCCACCCTTCAAGCCGAAACGCATTACTGCTTCACGACAGAAATAGGCAGGGTGGTGGTACCTACCCGCGCGGACTCAACACGTCCTACCACCAGTAATTACGCAAAATAAAATTTATAATCTGCACGGGGATTTACGTTGCAACATCAACGTCCAGCAGGAAGTAGCAGTAAATGGCGATACAATTTGCTAGTTCTTATATCGATTTGAAATCCACGTAGGAAGTTAGGATATTTGGAATTTTAATAGCTTATTGCCAATTTATCCGGTATAGCCGGTTCACGGTGAGAAAGGCCTAGATATTGTCACTGGCATATAGGTAATCAAACGAAACAGCGGAGAGGCCTTAGCACAGTTGACGACGCAAACTATCGTCGAGATTATTAACATTATTATCGATTTAATTATGTCGAAAGACGGCTTATCTTGACTGGGGTTTTGTTTTTTTTTTTTTATTGCTCAGTTGGGTGGACGAGCTGACAGCCCACCTGGTGTTACGGTTACTGGAGCCCATAGACATCTACAACGTAAATGCGCCACCCACATTGAGATATAAGTTCTAAGGTCTCAGTATAGTTACAACGGTTGCCTCACCATTCAAACCGAAGCGCATTACTGCTTCACGGCAGAAATAGGCAGGGTGGTGGTACCTATCCGCGCGGACTCACAAGAGTTCCTACCACCAGTAAAAGTTCTTCGGTGTTCTTCGGTGTAACAACAAGCAGTGATAGTCACTAACCCTTTCATCGCGTCCGTCAGTAACTACATTCCCGATCCTGCGGACCGAATGGTAAACAGTCGACGTCGCCCTAAGCACGTATTCACCGTTCTACCTATTTCTGCCGCGAACAATCCGGCAATTCCGGTCTGATAACGGTATAACCGTTATACCGATGCAACTGAGACTTCAAACGTCTCAGGTGAGCGATGGCATTCACAGCTTGGTGGACAGTAACCACACACAGCTAATCTGAAAACATCAATCGGGCAAGATCATTTGCGTATTTAATAATTAATTTAAATATTGCTGTGTCAGATAATAGTCAGTTTGCAATTGGCCTGGTTATTACTGCCGTGAAGCAGTAATGCGTTTCGGTTTGAAGGGTGGGCTATACCGAGACATTAGAACTTGTATCTCAAGGTGGGTCGCGCATTTACGTTGTAGATGTTTATGGGCTCCAGTAACCACTTAATACCAGGTGGGCTGTAAGCTCGTCCAACCACCTAAGCAATAAAAACATACAAACTTAAATGAGTATACATACATACAAACAATCATAAACATATACCAAGCTAATAAAACCGTGTTCAAAACAAAGAGATTATGGTAGGTATATGTTGCGTTTGCCCTAGGTACTTTCTCTTTAAGAACGCGGATAATAGTAGATGATAGATGAGGGGCTTTTAAGGCAGAAAGGCTGTGTAGCGCTAATTTCGAATTTGTTACACCTTGATAAGCTTAATTAACACTTAAGGTGGATGATGATGGAAAATTAGGATATACCTTGTTTTTTTTTCCTACCTATGCTGATAGCCTTGAGAGACTATTTCCGCGTTACCCTAGCGTGTAGGTGAGCTCTCGGGGCTCAAACCGGAGGTGTTGCTAACACTGGCCCTAGCAAGAGCAGTGCTTCGCAGAATCTACTACCGGATCAGAAACGCGACCCACTTAGAAGATCCGGCGAGAAACTCAGTGGGCTATGGGTTAAGTATCTTGTTAATGATGTACCGTAAACATTAATTATTTTTTAATCCTACCTATTCGTCGGTAGCCTAGGGGGCTATTCCGGCTACGCCAGGACCGGTAGGTTAGCTCACGGACTCAACCTGAGAGAATTTGCTAACATTAGGCCTAGCAAGAGCAGTGCTTCGCAGAATCTACCACCGGATCGGAACCGCGACCCATTGAGAAAATCCGGCGACAAACTTAGTGGGCTGTGTCTATAGGTTAGTAGCCTTAAAATGAGTATACAGTGTACGTCGAGCTTTATTTTGCCTATATTGTCTTATTTCGTTCTCGTACTCTGACTTTACTTAATTTATTTGTAACTCAAATATGCTAATATTTTTAATAATACTTTACTTTGCGATTTAGCGGAATAATAACCTTTATAGTTAGGTATATTAACTGTGATTCCGAGGCTAATAGGCATATGCCAGACGCGCCTACAGAAAAAAAAAGTAGTCTATTGAACATGCGACGCGCCGCGCATTTTGCAAAGGTCGGGAACCTCGACAATCGCAGACAAGAATCAGACGATTTAATTACATATCGAGAAGTTGAATTCTCGTAATCGATTGTTATTTTAAAATTGTTTCAAAGAGAAATGCATACAATAATGATCAAAATCGAATTAGCGTTAGAACGTGTCCAGCACGGGGCGCCCTTGAATTGGCAAAAAATAAACAAATAGCAACGACCTCGGCACATATTATAGACGATATTACGCCTAGCGAGTCAACTTAGATTAGGGACAACATTATTACATATTCATAAGTGTTTCATATTTTTATTCAAATAATCAAATAGAACTAGAAACACCGGCGATTCGACGAGGTGACGTCATCGACGTCTGGGCCCCAATTTTGACGTCACTCAGTACGGTGACCCACAAATCTACAGACACAATAAATTCAGCAACGTACGCTGCGAAACGAGGGTCAATGAACTGTTGACGTATTTAAAATACACATAAAGTAGGTACCTTATCGCGAATGTAGTTCACGACGCGGCAAGCTGAGCGGGCTTGCTGTGCTGTGCGTTTGCAAAATGGTTATTTATAGATGTGTGTGCCCGTGACGGATATTTCGCGCTATTTCTAAGGTCCTGAACGAACATCGGTGAGTAATGGTTTTTGCACAGATGAATCATGTGAATGAAATGGCATTAACCGATTTACTCAGATCTAAAAACATTGGACAAGAAACCATTCGATGAAATACAAACTTTTTTTTACTAAAGTGAAACTTAATTTAAAAAACTGGCTGTTAATTTAAAACTGACAACATCAAATAACGACGAACAAAATTTTTGGATAGAATAGAGATGTTATGAATAAAGTCAATGTCGGTTTTCAATGTTACAAATAATAACGATTTTATTGAAAACTGCTGTCGTTTCTTATTAAAGATTTTAATTTCAATGCATAGGTATAAACTGAGCAAGGGAAATCTTTTCTTTAAGCACCGGAAACGCAATGTGTATTCGTTTTACTTGTGTAGTTTAACGCTATTGATATAATGAAAATGTGAGAAAGGAAGTGAGTCTGTCGTGCTGTACAAGACACTACGCCCGGGCTTTCTTTGTCAACAAAGGAAGAAACGGAGATTCACACAATTTTAAGCATCTTACCTTGCATCCCTTAGAATTCATAATATTGATTGCTTAAGGGTCATTTTCGAAAACGAGACATTCGCAGTAGTCGCCCTACCTATCTACCCACATAATGCGACCACTACAGATCCAGGTTTCTTACTTACACATACACACATGAAGGCCAGTTTTAAATACTTGTGTGTACGTGTTGCGAATACATACTTAGGGCTTCGATGATCAGCAGGTGTAAGCGAATTTAAAGTAAGGGGTTATTGCGATTAACTCTTTTATCCCGTCGTTTCCATATGAAAGAGTAATGAACCTTGTTTTACTACTGGAGAATGTCGATTAGTGACCGTGTGATCTTTTACGGATAACCGAGATTGTTTTTTTTTTTTATAAATTGGGATTTTTTCCTTTGAAACTTGATAGAAACATTGATTACTTATCTTTTACTTATTAGTATTTTTAAAGCAATATGTAAAATGATAAGAAGTCTTAGTAGTTAGTATGTGAATTGGAATGTGTTAGCATTACATTTACATTAAATTACAATAATTTTGATCCTTTATTTGAAATTCTAATTAGATAATATTCTATGACGTTTTATGGACATTTAATAATGATCTAGTTTCCAGTAGGGATGAGGTGCTAAAATTTAAATTATTGCAATAACAAAGGCTGACTGTCAGTGAATCGATTATAAGTACCGAAGGTCAGAGGGTTTGCAAGTGTGTGTATGTATGCAAGTATGCAGGCGAGCTCAGTGCGGCGTTGCTGCTGCACGCCTGCACCGGCGGTTGCAACACCCTCCCCCCTTCGTTCTCGGCTTCTCACTCGACGCCGTCTTGCCGCTAGCCTGTCTCACCTCGCGGCCGGCAGCCTTGCGCGACGCGCCGCGCTCTTTCACATTCAAAATTATTCGCAACCATTGCAAAAACTCTCTGTGCAATAATAAAAAATACATTATCGGTCATTGCGGCTGTCATTAGGTTTATAACAGAGAGATTAGAAATTTATCAACAGAATTAATTGTGCAAATTTTAGTGGCCTTAAAAGTTTGAATGCACTCCTCGTTGCATATCCCGCGAACGCGCCTCGTTATGAGAACCCCGTAGGTATTGGCGGTCACGTTGACGTCGCGCGGACCGCGGTGCCGCCATATCTGTCTCGGCCACAACTAGCAAAATTAATAGGTAATTATATTAGTCTACAGTGTTACTTACAGATTCTGGCATTCAGTGATTGTGTAATAAAGTGTTTTTTACCTTTGGAGATACTCTATAGTGAACCCAAACGGATTCTGTTTAGAAAGGAAGGCGCGCGCCGGCCGGTTCTTATCGGGTGCAATGCAGTTGCACTCTTAACTTATTGCAATTTTGCATTCGCCAAAGTTTCATGCGCGGAAAGTTTTAAGTGTTAGATTATTCTGTAGAAAGACTGTATTTAGTGTTGAAAAGTGATTACTCGTACAGTGATTTGTGTAATAGTTTCTATAGAGCTGTCAGTTTACTGTACGGTGTTATTTCGGTCATTGACCGCCGGAATTCGCATCACTATAGTGTAATGTTTAGTTGTGTTTTAGTTTTTTTGCATTAACTAAGTTTTTCGGTTTTTAGGCCCAAAATTGTGTTCATCTCTAATCATAGAAATTCAATAACCCGCGCATTCGCTTTTTGAAATTCGCCTTCACCCGGATGGAATGAGGAGTGCACAATCTTATTGTTTCACTGTTTCATATGTTTGAACATCTTTTGTTTTTTTGTTTTTCGGACGATTAGAGAATTGTCATTTTGTTACAAAATTACAAAAATTGTAAAATAAAGGTAATTATCATTCATTTTATAAATTTGTATAGCAACGTGAAATGAAAAGTTTTTAAATGATATAAAATACAGTCGGCGTCGGTCACACACGTGGCTTCCTTGAATCGCATCCGTATGACATCATCTGTAGGCGATATATGAAAAATCCCATCTTAGTGTATTCCACAAAAGTTGCAAAACTTTCTAAAGTAAATTGTAAATTGAATTGTGCATGTTCAGTGTGTGATTATGATGGTACATGTGCAGAATGGCGGAGGGCAATGGAGAAATATCCTATGATGAGGTAGCTGGGAAGGATTCTGATGTTGGCCGGACAGAAGATTACCACAAACTTATTGAGTATGGCTTGGATCCTAAGGTGAGACAGTTTTGTAATTTATTTCAGCCCAAAAACAAATAAATAAGTATTTTACAAATCATGAGATCACCATTCAAAGTTATCAGTGTGACTAGACGGTAAAACTTAATATCAATTTTTTTTTAAATAAATCTTGCTTAAAGTAAAATATGATTATTTTTAAATAATAGCCATATGTATAAAGTTACAAAAAACTGTTAGAATATAAATGTTAACTTTGAATATAAAAATCCTAAATTAATCTTTTTATTTCATGCGTGCTACAAGAATGAAACTTACTTACTTCTTCTTTAAAACATTATTGCCCTTCATTTGATTTGACAGAATTACAATAATACAAGTTTTCAATAATAATCAAATACATATATTTCAAAAACATAATTACCACATAAAAAATACAATGCATTGTGAGATTGCATTCTTATTAGAATGGTTACTGTATAATTTCTTGATACTTTAATCCTCTCTGGGATTCCTATAAGAATTCGAGATCACATAATCATTCATGACTTACTCATTAAAGGAAAACTAATAAGAATTTGGAGTTTGACAATGGCATGGTAATTTCAACCTTATGTCTTATATGAAAGACCACTTTAGTAACATGACCTTTCCAACAAGTTTGTCTTGAGCGCTTCCATATTTTTTAAAACCAAAATTACTCGTATGAATACTTGCTTAATTTTTCATTTGTAATGAATACATAATGCATGTTTCTGAAATAGCGCGTTCACGACGCGCTGTGACGTCAACGCGTAATAAGTATGGCGGGCGATGGATTGCCATTATCAAAATCATTGGCGTACTTAAAACTAGAACAGTTTCATTTTCAGAAAAAGGGAACCATAGCGCGAATATCACTCCCAAAAACCATATAATTAGTCAATTTGTTGCTTCTATGATCACGATCAGAAACTAAAAGTTTTTTTTTTATGTGTCTTCCTTGTGTGATAAAGTAATGATTTCTACCAAAATACTATAGAGAACACGCGTTGGCGCGACCACTTTTGTCTGTCTGGGCGTCCTTCGCAGTTTTTCGCGCCATCTCTTACTTTTACTTTATAGTAATTTTCGTACGTATCTGCACCCATAAACGCGAACCGGACCTAGTTGAAATATTCAGTTATGAACTGTCGCTCACCTTGTAAATCAGGCCATTTGCAAATTTGTATTGAACATTAAATACCTACTGAAAAAAAAATCACTCGCACAGCGACATTTCAATTCTCAATGAAAGGACATAGGCTGAAATGTCTTCCACAATTTTGTGCGTAATCATTTTAATCGCCGATTTGAATCTAATCGTGGAATTATTCTCGGAATTAATATCGTATGATTTAAGACGGTCATCAGTCTGTTTTATTTTTTATGGCCTCGTGATAAGTTTCAGTTTTGCAGTTGTTGTCTCGGTGTGCTAAGGTTGCAATTTTAAATTTATGCTCATAACCTTTTGAACGAAACTCCTCTTGGTTATCAAATTAAAATTCGTCAGTCGTTTTTTTTTTGCTTTGTTAAAATTCAAAATGCGCTTTATGCCAATAGAAATAAAGATTATTTAAATAAACCCGAGTACAAGATAAACGTATGTAAACATTGTCAAGAAGCTTTTGTCCGACTAGCAATCATCGTTCATTATCTAGAAATCGTTAAAAAACAGGCGGTTTTGGAACTCCGCAGAGTACACTGCCATCTAGCGGTGTTGGTTTGCACGATAATTCATTATTCCATTATCTTTGCAATTTTCCTTGATACCGTGACCTCTGGCTAGGTGTTGTCACCTGGACGGGGTCTGCTGTTTGATAAATATGTTGTCAAGTGTACTTATATATTGCAGAGAACTAAGTGCCTATTATCTCTTATACAACTGCTAAGAGTTGCGATTTACAATGGCTCCGAATGAAAGTGATTTCAGTGGCACTGCCTACAAGTTCAAAAGTGCCTTATTATTTATTAAAAACATTAACGATATACATACATATATGTATGTACTGTTTCACAGCTTCTGTTTGACGTCTTTTAACGTTTTTATTAAGATGTACACTGATACATAATTGTATAAATAATATTTACAGCAAAAATTTGACTGGACGAGTACATCAAGTGATTTATTTAAAATATTTTTGAAATTGAAATGAATAAAACCTACTCACTATTTGAATCGCGGCCGTTAGATGCAAAATGTTAATTACTTATAAGAACTACTTTTATTTCCAATAAGATTACAACGTGGTGTTGGTAGTGGTTTGTTATATAATAATAATAATATCAATATTGATATGATGACTTATATTTTAATCACGATTTCAGACGTACATCGAACATAAAATAAATCACACAAATTTCTTTCTTTCACGAATTTGGACAACAAAAAAATGTGGTGTATTTACTGGTGGTAGGACGTCTTGTGAGACCGCATGAGTACATAGGAACCACCGCCCTGTCTATTTCTGCCGTGAAGCAGTAATGCGTTTCGGTTTGTATTCGTTGTACTTTAAAAACGGAGACATTAGAATTCGTACCTCAATGTGTGTGGCGGCATTTACGTTGTAGATGTCTATGGGCTCCAGCAACCACTTAACACCAGGTGGGCCGTGAGCTCGTCCATATATGTAAATTTCACTATTTCTGGTATCATAACGTCTTTTCTGCTGCGATGCGGTCAAGGGTTCAGGTTTGAAGGCATACACAATCTTTCAATGCAATAGAGAATCTTATGTGGCAAGGTGGATGACTGCCATTCAAATTGTATTGCGGTGGCTGAAATGAATTTTCGTATCTTTTTTAGCATCGATTTGGAACCCGATACAAAAAAAGACGACCCTAACCGACGACCAACATAACTTTTAGTTCTTGCCCTTATTCCTACCAAATGGTGTCAGTGTAGCATGTCCTCTTTTTCCATTCAGGCCTATGTTACGTCATCTCTGCACTCACACCACTCTTCTCTCGCATATCCTCTTTAAGAGAGTTCATCTTTTTAGTCGGCTCTTTTTAAGGAGTTTCCTCCTCACCTCCACGCATATAAACTCCTACTGGATTTGGCCTATGCCGTAATGAGGGAGAATTCTTCTAAAGGTTTCACTTCTACTGTGTTTGAACGGCGAGCTAATTTTTACCAGCTTTGATCGAGAACTGTACATAATCTATCTATATATATAAAAATGAATTGCTGTTCGTTAGTCTCGCTAAAACTCGAGAACGGCTGGACCGATTTGGCAAATTTTGGTCTTCAATTATTTGTGGAAGTCTAGAGAAGGTTTAAAAGGTAGATAAATATGAAAATGTTCGGAATTCAAGAAAAATAACAATTTTGTTTTCCCTTTGATGTGTCTCCCGTCGGATGGAATTCCTTTTGTTGGTTTTAAGTTTATTTTATACAAAAGCTTAGGTCTTTTATTTACCGATTGAGGCACTACGAAGTCTGCCGGGTCAGCTAGTATTCAATATAAAGGGAGTTCGCCTTAACGAGTGTGCATGCTGCGTGTAATTGCTCTGTATCGAATCAAAAGACGACATTGCGGAATACGTTACTCGTCTCTTGCTTGTTTATTTTTAGTTTCATTAGTGCTTTTGTTTGAGATCTTTTTCAGATTTGAGATCTTAGCCAGTTTTAAATACCAATCGAAACCGACTATATATCTTTCTCTTTCTATATTATAAGATTGTCTTTATTCTATTTAACTATGCAAATTAACACCCGCGGCATTTTGCGACTATCTCTGATGAATATAGTTTATTGATTATGACATATACGCATGTACAGTACATATGTGTGTGTTACGTTGTCGTAATTACTCGCGCATCATCATTTTTTAACGCGTAATGCTATTTTTGGAACATTTTTGCAATTTATTTTTATTTCCAGAACGATCAATTTGATTTACAAAGTGACGCCGACTGCTTTTTTTATTTTTTTATTTTTACTACACGCAAAGTATCTACCGCTTTCTATCAGGATGGCCACGTAATCGTAGTTTTCTATTCCTAAGCAAAAAATGTATATATAAATAAAAATGCATGTACAAATTTCGGTACGAGTCTTGTGAGCGCGCTCGGGGAGATACCACCACCCTGTCTGTTTTTGCCGTGAAGCAAGTAATGCGCTTCGGTTCGAAGGGTGGGACAACCCTTGTACTATAAAAAACTTATATCTCAAGGTGGGAGACGGCATTTGCGTTGTTCATGTATGGGCTTCGGTTACCACTTAGGATCAGGTGGACTGTGAGGTCATTCATCAGGCAGTTTTTAACTCGTCTAGAAACTTCAGTATCATCATTCGTATTGAGCTCCATAACAATACCCCATGTTTTTTCCAGCTCTTTGTCCCTCTTATTTTCGTCTTAGTGCCAGCACTATTTTTTTTGTTGTAATGTCGTATATCGTAATTATCGTGTAGAAATACTCAATTTCGGTTTTTTGGGAAAACCGAAATTGAGTATTTATTAAATACATTTGGAGTCACTAGGTTCCTAATGGAATGCCGGACACATGGACGCGATCATTGCAAATTTGTAATTTTTGTGTCTTATGGGTATCGAAGACCTATGGCTATCGTTCACCAGGTAAGCCGTGTGCTAGTCTATCCTCAAAGGCAATAAATACTTACTTCTCAGTCGTTTGCACTCTTCGTAGTCGTGGTCATCATTTTGGCTAGTGGTGCGCTTCACATGACGTCGCCACCAAAGGCAATAAGAACAATCAAATGTCGAGATATAATTGGGTTTTTGACGGAGATCTCATTTTGTAAGTTTGATGACTTGTAACTTAGAAAGGTCTGAATTTCGATCTTGAACTATGCCAAACGTTTACAATGTCTATACTAATATATAAATCTACAGTGGTTTTTACGGATGTTCCGTTATAACTACTGAACCATGCATCCGATTGACTTGAAACTTGGTATCCATGTAGAAAATACATGAACTTCATGGATAGGCTAATATTTATATGAGTGTTGGACTCCCTACACCAGTTGCGGGGGCGTTAATGATGAGAATCTT